TCTTAAACCTGCCCTTTCTCTGGCACTTAGCAATCAGCTGTTGCGTGCCCATATGTCGCTTTGTCCGATGTGTATAATTTACTGTAATTAACTTTATTTATTGCATATTATTTATTTTAATTTTATTTTATTGTAATTTTAGTTTATATAATTTATTTTGTTTTGTTTATTTATTTATTTTCAATATTTTAATTTAATTTAATTTTATTTATTTTTTCTAAAATTTTCGTTTGGTTTCGCATTATTAATGCGTTTTTTTTTATTTTCATTAAAAATGTAATATATTTCACATAACATTACTGCAAAAATATTCAACCCTCTCTCTCTCTTAAACCTGCCCTTTCTCTGGCACTTAGCAATCAGCTGTTGCGTGCCCATATGTCGCTTTGTCCGATGCGTATACTTTACTGTTTCCCAGTGCGTTTAGTGGCCTTCTTTTGTCGGTTAAGGTTAATGTGCCTTAAATATACATATGTATATTATTCACATTTTTGTTAGCTTTCTTGTTCGTTTGCTTTTGCCTTATTTTTGTGTAATTTTGTTTAGTGTTTCAACTTAGTTCGTCATCGGCATGTTCTGCGGGGGGTTCCATTAGCAAATTTCTACGCTCCGCACCCATTCGTTTCATGGTTTGTAAATACATACATATGTATGTAAGTTTGTAGGTTTATAAATTTTGCTTTTAGGTCGTTGACACTTTTTCCACACAGTTTCTGTTGCTTTGTTGCCAACACGCTCATATTGCAATAGATTTTACCACCTATGGTTGTTGTTGGACTCATCAGTTTTATTTTTTATTTGTTTTTGTAGTCTACCTTGTCTTGTTGTTAAAATTTATTATTGTTGTTGTTAATACCGTTTTGATCTTGCTTTTCGAAAACCTCTGCGCTCTGATTGTGCCCAACAAAAGGTCGAACCAGCGAACAATTGCTTAATTCGTTCGTCCTCCAGTCACATGTGTTGGTGACACGTTTGTTTTTACTGTGAGATGACACTTCAGCGATAGGAGGGAGCCACCTTTCTTTCGTAACAACAAAGGGAACAGCACCAAAAAAAAAAAAAAAACACATAATCACACAAAAACTTAATTCAGCAAATAAAATATTCATAACCCAAAGCATTTGTTATTGTTGTACTGCTGATATTTTTTTTTTTTTAGTGAAATTTTGTCAAAACTTCATTGAAGTGGTGAAAGCGTTGCAGAGGTGTAATTTTTCGTTCTTTTTACTGGTTTTTTTATGTTTCTTTCGATTTGTAATACATATGTATGTGTTCGTGTTTGCTTAAAAATTTGTGATGTCTGCACATAATTTTCGTCGATTTTCCTTCATTAAGCTTTACTTCAAAACCAGAGTTTAAACTGAAATTTTAGTTTTACGTTTGTGATCTTTGAAATCTGTCCACCGTTTTAATTAACTCCACAGAAAGTGTTAAAGTGTTTTTCACAAAATCCCCATAGTGTCGCGTGCTGTGTGAGCGGTGGTACCGTTTTGTTAAAAACACATTTTCTAAAAGTCCAACTCATCCAGTTTCGTTATAAAAAACTCGCGAAGACTGTGGCGTTTTTAGTGTTGCCTTCAAAAAAGTGAGATCCTATCAAATGTTATGTGAAAATGGCGCACCATAAGGTCATCTTATGAAGAACTTGAGGATTGTGGGTTGTCAAAAAACTAAGAATTTTTTAATGTCTAATGTCGTTTCGTCACTTTCCACCATTTTCTCAAAAAAATAAGCAATTTTTTTTAGTTATTCAGCTGCAACAACCTCTTAGGGTACGACGCAGGGTTTTACCCGTCAGCTGTTACCAGCTCAAGAACCATTTCACTTTTAAATCAAAACATCTTCAAATCATTGGTCGAAATTCTTTAAAGGCACCGCCCTTTTTATCTCATCGATATTATAGGCTCCTTCTCGACCCTAGCCCTCACAGCTACGATTTTATTAAATGATTGATTTGTTCCAGACCGTCTAGTTGAACTCCTGGCACCAGTGGTTACCAAACCAGTAAGCAGATTTCAGACGCTTCACGAGACCGGACTTGATGTCAGAATCTAGCCCAGATGGAGCGAAAGCTGTTCTACCCACAGGCACAATAAATATATCTATGAGAACTGGGTCCGAGTAAGGCTAGAGGGCAGGCATCTTCTTTTGCAGAAGTCGAAGAAGAGAAAATCATGCTTAGAGTCATGGATGAGAATCATGAAGATAGCCGATAGACTAAGGAAACAATGGAAATGATTTAAATCTGAGATTGCTTACATGACAGTCGAAAGCCTAGGTGAAAATCCTGGACCCACGACAACCTTCAGGTGAGGGTGGTAGTTCAAAAGCAGTAACAGGGTACAATCCATGCGAAGATATAAGATCGATTACACTCTATAAGACGGCTTATGCTAGTCTTGATGAGGCCTTCTGGGGATTTCGAAGATTTACCACAACGAACAAGGGTTAGAACAACATGCTAGTAAAGCCATCGGAGTCTGTAGAGAATTTCAAAACTATTCGGCTTTTCAATCCGAAACTCTTCTTCGTTTCTTTTAATGCCATGCGTTACTTCTACTTTGTTCTCCTTCCAGTTTAACTCGACTTGTTTGCCTTTCGGGCGACTGTTCTTCACGTTTCGCGCGGTCAACAGGGAGACCTGCCTCAGCAAACTAGGGGATTCCATTCCAAGACCTTCTTTGCAGCGCTGTCGTCTTCTTTGCGCAAAGTTTGGCCTATCCACTTTCAGTTCTCTATCCAAATCCCGATGTCAGGGCGCTCCATGTTAGTCTTCCTCATTCGAGATAGTTTTAGGCCAAAAACAATTCGGAGTATCATTCTAGGAAATCGGTTGACGAAAACTTGTAGCCGCCTGCCTTCACCAGTGCCGCCATTGGCGCCAACTTCGCTACCAAGAATATTCCTCACAGTCTCAAAAGTTCGGTCGGAGACTAATACATCGCCAAAGCCATAAAGTCAAAGTTACTTAGAGCTGAGACACTGTCATTAAATATATATATTTACATAGTGCAAGACTCAAGGCTCCAACAAACTTTAAACTAATTTACTGTTTTTTTCTTTCCAGGTTACAAATATATTCAGCATGGGACTACACCAGCGACATCTGTCCAATTTTTATAAACTGCACCAGCGCTCCATAAAAACTAAGAGGATTTTATAAATACGCACATTTGCACAATTTTGTGAAGAAGGCGCACAAGCTATATATCTTTTTATACTAAAAAGTAAACCGTTACTAAACATACGAAATAATGTCCTCCACAAAAGCTGAGAGCGCCGCTGGCTCCAATCCATCAGCGACTGCCTTTGGCTCAACCCTAGCTGGCAGTGCATTCCAATTGCCCGTGAATATGCACGGCCATGCCCAAATCACTTCGAATGGCAGCCACTGCCACAGTACTAATGGCACAACAACAACAACCACCACAACAACAACACGCAACAATGTATCCGTCACGAATATTAAATGCGAAATGGATGAGAGTATTGCGTCATCGCTAACGCCCAATGGCAATATAGTGCCGGTCATAGCTGCAACAGGCGCTGCCAGCTACTATAACGGTGCAAGTAGTGGAATTGGTGGTGTTGGTATACGGATACCTGTCACGAAGGCGGAAGATTCCGACTCTGAGACTGAGTTGACGAACATTGAGAATTTAAAAGTGACGCGACGCGCGCATAGCAGCAATGCGGACGTCAGCACGCCTGGTGCGGCTGGTGGCGGCAGTAATACAAACGCTAATCATAACAAGAATGGACCGCGTCCCATGTCCTGGGAAGGGGAACTCTCCGAAACGGAGACGACTGAAACGGAGCTTATGGAAACGGAGAATTCGTTAAGTAATAGCGGCATAGCGCCGAGCATGTTGAGCACAAACAATGGCAGTATTGGTAGTATAGGCGTGGCGGTGATTAAAAGCGAGGCGACCACCACAACCCCCGCACAGACTTTGCCGCCAACGCCGACACATCCCATCAAGCCTGAACAAATGGAACAAATTTCCGTTGAGGTGCATGCTGGTGCAGCGGCGCTTGCACCGTCGCGCACCGGCTTGGGTAGCAGCAGCAGTGCCGGAAGTCTTTATTCCACACCGCACACAAAGCTCGCACCCACGCAAAGTGATCCCATTAATCTGAAGTACGATCCCGATGCCAACGCTACGGGGCTTATCACAGCTGGCGGAAATGTAAACTCGCCACTTTTGGCGCGTAACAAATCAGCCACCCTGCCACTTCCTGCCAATCCCAGCCCAGACTCTGCCATACATTCCGTCTATACGCACAGCTCACCATCCCAGTCGCCATTGACGTCGCGCCACGCACCCTACACGCCATCGCTGAGTCGAAACAATAGCGACGCATCGCACAGCTCATGCTACTCTTACAGTTCAGAGTTCAGTCCAACACATTCACCCATACAGGGCAGACATGCGCCACCGGTGCCAGCACTCTACGGCAGCTTCAATGGCTCGCTGCACCACTCAGTGCTCTACCGACCCATTACGGTGGATAGTGGCGGTGGCGGTGGCGGCGGCGCTGGTAACGGCAATGCCGTTCTTGCCAGCAACGCGGAGGCACAGAACCTAAGCATGGACACGAAGGTCTCGCCGCTCAACATGGGTCTGGAGGGTTTGCCTGCCTCACCGGCTGGTATTTCGCGTCAACAGCTCATAAACTCGCCTTGTCCCATTTGCGGCGATAAAATCTCCGGCTTCCACTACGGCATCTTCTCGTGTGAATCGTGTAAGGGCTTCTTCAAGCGCACCGTCCAGAATCGCAAGAACTATGTATGCGTACGCGGCGGCCCATGTCCGGTAAGCATTTCGACGCGCAAGAAATGTCCCGCTTGTCGTTTCGAAAAATGTCTGCAGAAGGGCATGAAACTTGAGGCGATACGTGAAGATCGCACGCGTGGTGGACGCTCCACGTACCAATGCTCGTACACATTGCCCAATTCGATGTTGAGTCCGCTATTGAGTCCGGAACAGCAGGGTGTTGCGGCAGCGGTGGCAGCAGCTGCTGCGGCAGCAGCCAGCCAACAGCAGCAGCACCAGCAACAGGGACGACTTGGCGGTGGCGCGCAAATGACGCATTCAATGTCTGCACAGCAGCAGCAGCATCATCACACGCTGAACGGACTGGCTGCGGGTTTGGGTGGTGGGGGGCACGCCACAATCAAGTCGGAACAGTGTGATGAAGGAGCTACCGCGCCGGCGCGTGCAACAAACATTCCTATGCTGCTGCAGGTGAGTTTTTACGCACAAAGGACTTTGAACTTTTAAGAAATTGCCTTCAAATTCATTACAGGAAATCATGGATGTTGAACATCTGTGGCAGTATAATGAAGCCGAATTGGCGCGTCTCAATCAACCGATCTCTACATCGTCTTCCTCCTCTTCCAATGCCTCTACCGCCTCGACGTCCACTGCGACTGGTGGTGGTGGTGGCGTTGCTGCTGCTGCTATCAATACACAAATGACAAACCCTCTGCTGGCCAGTGCTGGTTTCGGTAACGGTGAAAATGCCAATCCCGATCTTATTGCACACCTGTGCAATGTGGCCGATCATCGACTGTACAAGATCGTCAAATGGTGCAAAAGTTTGCCGCTCTTCAAGCATATTTCGGTAGGTTGCGCTTGCGTCAGCTTAGAAGAAACATTTGCAATTTCTACTTCCTTTCTATAGATCGATGATCAAATTTGCTTGCTGATCAATTCATGGTGTGAATTGTTGCTCTTCTCGTGCTGTTATCGTTCGATCGATACGCCGGGAGAGATTAAGATGTCACAAGGCAAGAAGATTGACTTAGCGCAGGCAAAATCAAGTGGCTTACAGGTGAGCAGCAAGCTAAGAAATGTCAGCATAATGTTGTTTTGGTGGAGAAAAGTGTGTGCACATTTTTAATTATTTTACTTTTTATTTTGCTGTTCACTTAGGCCTGCATTGAACGAATGCTGAACCTGACAGAAAACTTGAGACGCCTACGCGTCGATCGCTATGAATATGTTGCCATGAAAGTGATTGTGCTGCTGCAGTCGGGTAAATATTTGAAATTTTTGACATTTAATTGTTTACAGTAAACATTTTAGCTCTTTTTATAGGCAAAATTTTGTATTAAGCCAGTAGAAAATTTGTAACTGCTTCTTGTGTAACCGAACAGAAAATCTTTAATTGCTTCTTGTGTGTACAAATGAAAATTTCTAGGATAGACCAGGTCTATTTCATAACTAGTTAACGACTAGTTTAGGCCCCTTCCTGGCCTAGTTCGGCCTCATTTCGGTCCAGTTCAGAACTATTTCAGTAGTATTTAGGGGGTAATTAGGGATCATTACGGGGCCTATTCACAAACATTTCGGGACTAGTTCAAGACTATTTGAGGGCCATTTTAGCACTAGGACTACTTATCGACCATTTCAAGACTATTTCAAGGCTATATCATGAACATTTCAGGAACAGTTCGGGTTCATTTTATGTCCAGTTCAGGACTACNCACTATTTGAGGGCCATTTTAGCACTAGGACTACTTATCGACCATTTCAAGACTATTTCAAGGCTATATCAAGAACATTTCAGGAACAGTTCGGGTTCATTTTATGTCCAGTTCAGGACTACTTTAAGACCATTTTGGAACATGTTCGGGATCGTTTTGGAATTATTTGAAGACCATTTCGAGAATTGATCGCATTATTTTGGGGCCTTTTTGGGACTAAGAGAGACCATTTCGGGACCGTTTCAAGACCTGTTCGAGATAATCTTGGGACAAGTTAAAGATTTTTCGACCATGTCGGGCCTGCTCAGGACTATTTCCGGACCATTTTGGGACTAGTTAGGGATTATTTTAGGGCCTGTTCACGACTACTTCAGGACTAGTTCGGGAACATTTGACAATATTTTAAGATCATTGCGGGACTAGTTCAGATCTATTTTAGGACCATGTCGGGGCTATGAGGGACACGACAATTTCGGACTATTTCGGGCCTAGTTCTGGACCATTTGAGCATAGTTCAGGACGTTTTGGAGCTAGCGCGAGTTCATTTCGAAAAAAGTTCAGGGCCATTTTCAGGACCATTTCAAGACTTTTCTGAGATCATTTCGGGAAAATTCTACGATTTTATCAGCACCCTTCTAGAACTAGTTCGGTTTTATTTCGAGGTTATCTTTTAACCTAACCCATTTATTTCACTATATACGGAATCGCCTAATGCCGTACTCAGATGTTTAGACATCAAACTTTATGAGTATCTGGTATACACGNAGACTATTTCGGGCCTAGTTCTGGACCATTTGAGCATAGTTCAGGACTTTTTGGAGCTAGCGCGAGTTCATTTCGAAAAAAGTTCAGGGCCATTTTCAGGACCATTTCAAGACTTTTCTGAGATCATTTCTGGAAAGTTTTACGATTTTATCAGCACCCTTCTAGAACTAGTTCGGTTTTATTTCGAGGTTATCTTTTAACCTAATCCATTTATTTACTATATACGGAATCGCCTAATACCGTACTCAGATGTTTAGACATCAAACTTTATGAGTATCTGGTATACACGCCCTTTTAATTTTATTTCATTAATAAATCAACTTCAAAAACTTTCTGTAATATGTTTAATCCATTTCCTTCCCTTGCCTAGACACCAGCGAATTGCAGGAGCCCGTCAAGGTGCGTGAATGTCAAGAGAAGGCGTTGCAAGCCTTGCAGGCCTACACGCTTGCGCACTATCCAGATACGCCGTCCAAATTTGGTGAACTACTGCTACGCATACCAGATCTGCAAAAGACATGCCAGGTAAGGGGATATTGTTGTAAATAAATTTGAAAAAATATTATATAAAAAAATGCCTTTCGATTTCTTACTGAACAGCTCGGCAAGGAGATGCTCACCATAAAATCACGTGATGGCGGTGATTTCAATTTACTTATGGAACTGCTACGNGCGCATACCAGATCTGCAAAAGACATGCCAGGTAAGGGGATATTGTTGTAAATAAATTTGAAAAAATATTATATAAAAAAAATGCCTTTTGATTTCTTACTGAACAGCTCGGCAAGGAGATGCTCACCATAAAATCACGTGATGGCGGTGATTTCAATTTACTTATGGAACTGCTACGTGGAGAACATTGACAAATGCTCTTGAAAAGTGTGCGTAGAAAGAAGCAACTGCAAAAACAACAAGAGCAAGTAGACGCAGCAACAAGGGCAGCGCAAGATTGCCGCCAACTGCTCCAATGGCGAAGTGCAATGGAATTAGCCGCAAGAAAGGCAATTGATTGTGCTTGAAGAGGAGAAAAGGAAGCCCAGAAAGAGGGAGAGGGAGCAGCAGGTATATGAAATCTGCCGCAATGCTTCCAGATAGTAAACAAAAAATATACAAACAGAGATGCTCGACGTGGAGCGGCTGAAACGAAGACAGCTTAAATTTATATGAAGAAAATATATAAAATCTATATATTAGTAAATGTTAGTCAATTAAGTAAATAAGAAAACGCTGCCACAATACGGCAGTAAAAAATATTCAAATATTTTATATTTTTACTTTTATAAGTAAAATTATAAATGGTAGATTTGTATGCTGAGATGCGCAGCTTGCGCAAAAAAGAGTATCTAAAATTTTAGTATTTTTTACTATGCCTATAAATATGTTTTAAGTAAGTAAATTAAACTGCAGTATAAGTAAATATATTTACTTTNAACTATGTATGCGTACGCGGCGGCCCATGTCCGGTAAGCATTTCGACGCGCAAGAAATGTCCCGCTTGTCGTTTCGAAAAATGTCTGCAGAAGGGCATGAAACTTGAGGCGATACGTGAAGATCGCACGCGTGGTGGACGCTCCACGTACCAATGCTCGTACACATTGCCCAATTCGATGTTGAGTCCGCTATTGAGTCCGGAACAGCAGGGTGTTGCGGCAGCGGTGGCAGCAGCTGCTGCGGCAGCAGCCAGCCAACAGCAGCAGCACCAGCAACAGGGACGACTTGGCGGTGGCGCGCAAATGACGCATTCAATGTCTGCACAGCAGCAGCAGCATCATCACACGCTGAACGGACTGGCTGCGGGTTTGGGTGGTGGGGGGCACGCCACAATCAAGTCGGAACAGTGTGATGAAGGAGCTACCGCGCCGGCGCGTGCAACAAACATTCCTATGCTGCTGCAGGTGAGTTTTTACGCACAAAGGACTTTGAACTTTTAAGAAATTGCCTTCAAATTCATTACAGGAAATCATGGATGTTGAACATCTGTGGCAGTATAATGAAGCCGAATTGGCGCGTCTCAATCAACCGATCTCTACATCGTCTTCCTCCTCTTCCAATGCCTCTACCGCCTCGACGTCCACTGCGACTGGTGGTGGTGGTGGCGTTGCTGCTGCTGCTATCAATACACAAATGACAAACCCTCTGCTGGCCAGTGCTGGTTTCGGTAACGGTGAAAATGCCAATCCCGATCTTATTGCACACCTGTGCAATGTGGCCGATCATCGACTGTACAAGATCGTCAAATGGTGCAAAAGTTTGCCGCTCTTCAAGCATATTTCGGTAGGTTGCGCTTGCGTCAGCTTAGAAGAAACATTTGCAATTTCTACTTCCTTTCTATAGATCGATGATCAAATTTGCTTGCTGATCAATTCATGGTGTGAATTGTTGCTCTTCTCGTGCTGTTATCGTTCGATCGATACGCCGGGAGAGATTAAGATGTCACAAGGCAAGAAGATTGACTTAGCGCAGGCAAAATCAAGTGGCTTACAGGTGAGCAGCAAGCTAAGAAATGTCAGCATAATGTTGTTTTGGTGGAGAAAAGTGTGTGCACATTTTTAATTATTTTACTTTTTATTTTGCTGTTCACTTAGGCCTGCATTGAACGAATGCTGAACCTGACAGAAAACTTGAGACGCCTACGCGTCGATCGCTATGAATATGTTGCCATGAAAGTGATTGTGCTGCTGCAGTCGGGTAAATATTTGAAATTTTTGACATTTAATTGCTTACAGTAAACATTTTAGCTCTTTTTATAGGCAAAATTTTGTATTAAGCCAGTAGAAAATTTGTAACTGCTTCTTGTGTAACCGAACAGAAAATCTTTAATTGCTTCTTGTGTGTACAAATGAAAATTTCTAGGATAGACCAGGTCTATTTCATAACTAGTTAACGACTAGTTTAGGCCCCTTCCTGGCCTAGTTCGGCCTCATTTCGGTCCAGTTCAGAACTATTTCAGTAGTATTTAGGGGGTAATTAGGGATCATTACGGGGCCTATTCACAAACATTTCGGGACTAGTTCAACACTATTTGAGGGCCATTTTAGCACTAGGACTACTTATCGACCATTTCAAGACTATTTCAAGGCTATATCAAGAACATTTCAGGAACAGTTCGGGTTCATTTTATGTCCAGTTCAGGACTACTTTAAGACCATTTTGGAACATGTTCGGGATCGTTTTGGAATTATTTGAAGACCATTTCGAGAATTGATCGCATTATTTTGGGGCCTTTTTGGGACTAAGAGAGACCATTTCGGGACCGTTTCAAGACCTGTTCGAGATAATCTTGGGACAAGTTAAAGATTTTTCGACCATGTCGGGCCTGCTCAGGACTATTTCCGGACCATTTTGGGACTAGTTAGGGATTATTTTAGGGCCTGTTCACGACTACTTCAGGACTAGTTCGGGAACATTTGACAATATTTTAAGATCATTGCGGGACTAGTTCAGATCTATTTTAGGACCATGTCGGGGCTATGAGGGACACGACAATTTCAGACTATTTCGGGCCTAGTTCTGGACCATTTGAGCATAGTTCAGGACTTTTTGGAGCTAGCGCGAGTTCATTTCGAAAAAAGTTCAGGGCCATTTTCAGGACCATTTCAAGACTTTTCTGAGATCATTTCTGGAAAGTTTTACGATTTTATCAGCACCCTTCTAGAACTAGTTCGGTTTTATTTCGAGGTTATCTTTTAACCTAATCCATTTATTTACTATATACGGAATCGCCTAATACCGTACTCAGATGTTTAGACATCAAACTTTATGAGTATCTGGTATACACGCCCTTTTAATTTTATTTCATTAATAAATCAACTTCAAAAACTTTCTGTAATATGTTTAATCCATTTCCTTCCCTTGCCTAGACACCAGCGAATTGCAGGAGCCCGTCAAGGTGCGTGAATGTCAAGAGAAGGCGTTGCAAGCCTTGCAGGCCTACACGCTTGCGCACTATCCAGATACGCCGTCCAAATTTGGTGAACTACTGCTGCGCATACCAGATCTGCAAAAGACATGCCAGGTAAGGGGATATTGTTGTAAATAAATTTGAAAAAATATTATATAAAAAAAATGCCTTTTGATTTCTTACTGAACAGCTCGGCAAGGAGATGCTCACCATAAAATCACGTGATGGCGGTGATTTCAATTTACTTATGGAACTGCTACGTGGAGAACATTGACAAATGCTCTTGAAAAGTGTGCGTAGAAAGAAGCAACTGCAAAAACAACAAGAGCAAGTAGACGCAGCAACAAGGGCAGCGCAAGATTGCCGCCAACTGCTCCAATGGCGAAGTGCAATGGAATTAGCCGCAAGAAAGGCAATTGATTGTGCTTGAAGAGGAGAAAAGGAAGCCCAGAAAGAGGGAGAGGGAGCAGCAGGTATATGAAATCTGCCGCAATGCTTCCAGATAGTAAACAAAAAATATACAAACAGAGATGCTCGACGTGGAGCGGCTGAAACGAAGACAGCTTAAATTTATATGAAGAAAATATATAAAATCTATATATTAGTAAATGTTAGTCAATTAAGTAAATAAGAAAACGCTGCCACAATACGGCAGTAAAAAATATTCAAATATTTTATATTTTTACTTTTATAAGTAAAATTATAAATGGTAGATTTGTATGCTGAGATGCGCAGCTTGCGCAAAAAAGAGTATCTAAAATTTTAGTATTTTTTACTATGCCTATAAATATGTTTTAAGTAAGTAAATTAAACTGCAGTATAAGTAAATATATTTACTTTATAAATGTAGTAAGCAAAAAAAAACTTAAATATTAAAAACATGTGCCTAAATGAGTAAACGATAAAGAAACTGATAGTAAAATGCAACCTACATATTAAATGTGGAATATACATATGTACTTTTTTTTATATATATTTTTTTGTAACTATAGCGAAAAGTGTAAAATTATAAACAAAAAGCATGAAAAATTGCATTAAAGTGGCGAAGTTTCTGTGGCCGGACGCCCTTACATGAGATTTTTTTAAATCACAGAAAATAAACGCAACATTTCAAATTTCTTTCAGACGCACTAAANATATATATTTTTTTTGTAACTATAGTGAAAAGTGTAAAATTATAAACAAAAAGCATGAAAAATTGCATTAAAGTGGCGAAGTTTCTGTGGCCGGACGCCCTTACATGAGATTTTTTTTAATCACAGAAAATAAACGCAACATTTCAAATTTCTTTCAGACGCACTAAATGCGAGCTTTAGTTATCAGACAGTGTTGGGCTCGAGTTCGCATTAACTAGTAAGAAAATTGGGACCTAACACTGCTAAAAGAATGAAATTGTAATTATTCAGTATCTAAATTCTAGCTAAACTCTCATAGCTGTAATTCATTTCGTTTGCATGAGGCCACTTTTAAAATGTTTGTTTTCTATTTTTCACCAGACATTGTGAGCCAAGCTTAATGCAAGGGAATGCATAAAAAAAAAAATATGAAAATCCAAGGACTACATACTTGCCAAATTTATGAAAACTTATTATAGCAAGCTGCATAAAAAAATATATATATATATATTAAAATAGCTCTGAAAGTAAAAACTCTTAAATTAAATTGTTCGCTTATACTGGCATACCACTGGGCATGAAATGACAAAAATGTTGTTGAGAATTTTCGGTCTTAACTACTTAGATGAAGGAGTTATATTACAAAAACTCATATCTGAACTATCAGTGATGTGGGAGATATGTATACCTTATAGTGCACCAATCTTGACGACCGTGCATGATGATTAATTATTAAGTAGCTCATGAATCTGCGCGATTTTAGCAATCAAAATAAAGGAGCTTTTAAGTAAAATCTTATATCTGAATAATCAGTGGTATGGGAGCTATAGCTTATAGTAACCAGATCTTTGCCATTTTCACTGAACACTTTTTGTTGATAATATGTAAAAATAAGGCTAAATTTCATGTTCCTAGCTNCAATTATTAAGTAGCTCATGAATCTGCTCGATTTTAGCAATCAAAATAAAGGAGCTTTTAAGTAAAATCTTATATCTGAACAATCAGTGGTATGGGAGCTATAGCTTATAGTAACCAGATCTTTGCCATTTTCACTTAACACTTTTTGTTGATAATATGTAAAAATAAGGCTAAATTTCATGTTCCTAGCTGCATAAATTGCGGAGTTATGGGCGTGTTCTGAAATGCATCAAGCCAAATATCATCAGACGCTTTTACTTTTAAACTGTAATTGATGGAAATGCCTTACTTACGCAACTAAGTTATAATTAGAAATTTAACCGTGGTTGCGCATATTGGACATTTCCATCAAATATAGCTAATAAATAAATAAGACTGATGCATTTCTGAACACACCCTATAACGCAAAATCTAATGTCTAAACAATCAGTTGTATGGGAGCTGGAATTTTATCGGTTCTGNACGCTTTTACTTTTAAACTGTAATTGATGGAAATGCCTTACTTACGCAACTAAGTTATAACTAGAAATTTAACCGTGGTTGCGCATATTGGACATTTCCATCAAATATAGCTAAGAAATAAATAAGACTGATGCATTTCTGAACACACCCTATAACGCAACATCTAATGTCTAAACAATCAGTTGTATGGGAGCTGGAATTTTATCGGTTCTGCCAAATGAGTAATAAATTATAAAAAGACAAACCTCTTACTGAATTTGAGTCTGATATCTCGAAAGCTTTTGGACTAGATTGTGTTCAAACAGATAGTCAGTCAGACGGAAATGGATAAATCGACTTAGCTCGGCGTTCTCATCATATTGGTATAATTTTTCATGGGTCTATCTCTTACAAACTTCGGTCATAATACCATTTCATGTTCATGAAAAATGTTTGAAATATCACTGCCTTGTGGAATTTTTTAAATGTCAAATAATTTTTTGTAATTTAATGAGAACTTGGTATTAGAACAGTTAGTTTGATGCGCAAACGACCTCGTAAACTTCAGTGTTGCCAAGGACCGGACAATTTTGTACTAAAATATATTATATAGTATTGAAAACAAATGTAAAAAATAATATATGAACAAAAAGAGTGAATTGCATTCACAAACTGTACTNTTCATGAAAAATGAAACTGCCTTGTGGAATTTTTTAAATGTCAAATAATTTTTTGTAATTTAATGAGAACTTGGTATTTGAACAGTTAGTTTGATGCGCAAACGACCTCGTAAACTTCAGTGTTGCCAAGGACCGGACAATTTTGTACTAAAATATATTATATAGTATTGAAAACAAATGTAAAAAATAATATATGAACAAAAAGAGTGAATTGCATTCACAAACTGTACTAACTTGGGTTTCCTGCTAATTTTCGGCATGCGAGGAGATGTCTCCTACGCATGGCGGGCACTCGTTTGGCACATCTGGAGTTGAGAGTGCTTCTTTTTAGTTGTATCGATGTTCTAAAACGTCTTCTTTAATCACTAAGAAAGCGAAATTTCCCTCAAAGCTAATATTGCAAGCAAAATATTTCGAAAAAAAGCACTGTCAGCTCTAAACTGACATTGTAAACGCTCCTTAAAGTTGACAAATTCAAAAGTATTCGTATAAAAATTGGCAGTTCTAAAAGCTTCGGGCAATCATTGATTCAAAAGTTCTTCCAGTTTTTTGTTGTTATTGAATTAAAAATTTGAAAATTTTTTAGCGATTTTTTTCTTTTGAAAATAAGCTAAAAATGTTGGTCTACTTTTAATGAAAAATTTAAGTTTTTTCATAAAATTTTTTACTTTCAAAACACTAAGAAATTCAGAAGACATAAAATAAAAACCCGCCCATCTGTTTATAAAATAGCAAACTGCATCTACATATCGTTACCTTAATATAGAAAGGCTTAAGTTATAATTTTCGTAGGATAAGAAAAAGAACTTAAAAAATTAAGTACACTTAATTTAATGAAAAACGATTTTTTTACGAATTTTAAAAAGTTAAAAGAATTGAAAAAATGATGAAAATTTAAAAATAAAATAAAATTAAAAGTTGTATTTGCTAGCAGTAAATTTTTAATTTAAATTAAATTTTAAAATGTTTTCAAAATTTTTTGAATATTTTAAACTTTTACAATTAAAAAAAGTGTATTTTTAATTAAAACTATTTTTTATTTTTACTTGTGTTACAATTTTGTAAAATTCTTAATCTTTTATTTTTTTAATTCTTTTAATTCTTCTTTAAGTATTTTAAATTGAAATTTTAAATTTTTGATTTTTGTGTATATNATTTGTATAAAATGTTGCATCATCTTAGTTTTAATTATTATTTTTTTCACCGCTAGCAGTAAATTTTTAATTTAAATTAAATTTTAAAATGTTTTCAAAATTTTTTGAATATTTTAAACTTCTACAATTAAAAAAAGTGTATTTTTAATTAAAACTATTTTTTATTTTTACTTGTGTTACAATTTTGTAAAATTCTTAATCTTTTATTTTTTTAATTCTTTTAATTCTTCTTTAAGTATTTTAAATTGAAATTTTAAATTTTTGATTTTTGTGTATATTTTTTAAATTTTGCCTTTCTATATTAAGGAAGCGATGTAATACAAGCAAAAAATATACGTGCAAAAAAAACAAAAACATTCACTAAATGTACAGTAGTTAAATGTATGTAAAAGTAAAAAAAAATCGAAAAAGGCAGTTATTTGAAAGATCAGCTAAAAAATACAAACTTTGTATGTTGCTAAATTAAGGGCAGCTATGTGGCAAGTTTTAAGGCCATCGCGCCATATTTTGTATGTACGTTGCAAAACAAAAAAAAAAAATATTTTATAATTTTAAACTAGTTAAAAAAATGGATCTTCATATTTCTTTTCTTTTTCTAGCGTTAATGGTGTTTTTAACCAATGCTTGAATGTTCACTAGCAATCAAAGCTAATGATGATTTCTTTTTAATATTCACAATGTTTTGCATGCTAAAAATTTTTCGTAAATTTTTTATAAAAAATATTGCTCAGGCTAAAACCATAAACATAATAATCAAAATTTAGCAAAATTAAAATTTTTTTTACCGAAATGTCCACCTTTTTAAACAGAATTTTTGAGAATATTTTTGAGTAGGCAGTTTTATAGCTCATAAAATTTTAGTGGACACGCACTGGTATTTAATAAATTTTATCGCCGCCGGTCTTTTGCAGTTGTTAAAAAAAATGCAAACTTGCTTTAATAACACTGTGCGACAAAAACCAAAAA